ATGAATTGACCCCCTCAAAATGTTATGTTTATTTATCTATTTATTTTAAGTTTTAAAAAACTGTTAAATTTCAGAAAGTATTGTCTAGTGATTAGACTAGGGGGATGAGAGCCATGATTCCTGGGTAATGGTCCCAACTCTATCACTGACTGAGTCTCCCCAACTCTTGTGCTTTCATTGTGAGTCTCACAATATTTGGCATTATACTCAAAGCTCCAGCTCCTGGAGTCCTAAGATTACCTGAGAATCTTACTTGTTATCAAAAAATGTGTTTCTAGCCCTCATGGTTTTGGAGAAAAGCTTGAAAAACTGTGCCTTAAAAGGATCAGAAACCAGAAGGCAAATTAAAAGAACCCAATTGGTTATTTGTTTTTAAATCTTGTGATTTTTCAAATCAATTTCATGACTTTTTGAGCCCCAATATGATTTTTGAAGGTTTGGGATTGGCACTACTGGTGATTTGTTTTTTGACTCAAGGCAAATTATTTAACCCTTCTGTGCCTCAATTTGTCCTCCTTTATATAGTCCCTAACCCTATAAAAGTTGCTTATACAGACCCTGTTCGAAGTTGGAGAAAAATGTGGAAGTCATACTACTTTTCTCCCCTTGCTTTGTACTTAGTATTTGAGTGGAAATGAATAAGGTAAATTGAGACAAATTGGAATGATGTTGAAGAACACTCTTTATCTGCCCATTCCTGGTGGTTACACAGCACCTAATGGGTACAACTACTCTGCAGCCAGAGGTATAATTTCCGATTTGGGTAGACATACCCATGCTAGCTTTAATCAAGCCAGTGTGGTAATAATAGCAATGTAGCCATCACTAATTGGACAGCAGCAGGGGCTAGCCTGGTTGGGATTATACTTGGGTGGCAAACCTGTGCTGTTGCCCATGTAGCCACCACTTTACTGCTATTTTTAATGCACTAGCTCAGTCAAAGCTAGTGAGGGTACGTCTACCCAAGTCAGAAATCTCATCCCCGGCTGCAGGGTAGTCACCGAAAGGGTTCTAAAGAGCCAGAGTGTGTCTAGGAGGCTGCTGGATGGAATGGCAATTCAGTTCAGTGACGTGAGATCCCTATTTTGAAAGAGGCAGTTAAAAAATTCTTGTGTTAAATTCCAGCATTTCAAATCCTGCTTTCCTTTTTTCAAGCTGAGCAAACACAGCACCCAGGAGCGGGTCCTATAGCTGTTATGTTCCTGCTTTTCTGCTCAGCTAACCATGACAGCAATATCTTTACCTGACATGGCATGCACACAGTTAATGTTTTGCATCATTTTCTGATGCAACTGTTCCAACCTTAGTTGAGCACTGTTTTGTCTTTGGGGTGTTTTTCTTTTTGGTTAACAGGTTAAACTGGTATTTCAAGTAGGTCGATATTTTAGTTGTTATTTCAAGAGATTCAGCAGCAGTGATTTGGCAGCAGCACAAAAGGGTTAGGGGAGAGGGGCTAGCTGAATTTCCCTGACCCTCACCCATATTGCAGATTTAGGACACTGGGAGCACATGGCCCTGGAGCCCCCAGCAAGGAGCACTGTGTGGATTAGACCCCTCCATGGAACTTCCTAGGAGAAGGTTGGTTGGGTATAATTTATGGAGAAGGGAGGAAAACAAATAATAAAATAAAAATAGGCAGTAAGTCCAGGATCACTCTTTCTGGGTGGGGGAAATATTAAGGGAGTACAAGGGGTTAGGATTTGAAATGGAATTTTAAATATATTAAATAAAAGATTAAATGATGTCAATCATCCAATTGTGCACTATGTTAGCTATATAAACCAAGCGTATGATTTATTACTGTTACATCGTCCTTCCTCCTGACTTTGTGAATGGAAGAAACATGGTGCAGTCCTGTTTCTAATTAGGCCCCTATCCTGCAAAGACTTGTGCACCTGCCTGACCTTAAGCACGTGGTAGTCCCATTGCTTAAAGCTGAGCACATGCATAAATCTTTGTAAGGGTCAGGACCTTAGAATGTAAGCTAATGGGAACAGAGATCAGGTTTATATTAGGGAGGCCACTCACGCATCCCCAGAATATCGGACATTTTAGTATTTCCAGGAATGGCATGGGTCCACACCCGACAACGTGACCCACCAGCGTGACCTTGCATGTATGCTAGTAGGGGCGGGGCAGCACGCTTTATAAAAGGGCGTTCCCCTATTTGATACCATTCAAAACTATGTCCAGTTTTGTTTCACTACTGAATAGAGGGCAAACCTTAGAAAAGCAGGGCTGTTGGGCTTAAAACTGGACGAATGGCCTGCCTGATTCAGATATGTATTCTGTACAATGCCTAGCACCACAGGACCCTGATCTTGATTGGGACTTTGAGGCCCTCCAATACTACAAGTTAATAATAATAAATACAATTATGAAAATATGTGCAGGGATAGGAAATAAGATCTTATTATAATGCTGTACTTCCTACCACAAGAATCACTTAATGTCTGGGCCTATTATTGTATTGCCAGCAAATGAGGAATTACAGGCTTTGCATTGAAGAAAACAACTGATTGTAAACTCCTGGATTCACAGGAGACAGTCTGTCTTTTCATCAACTATTGGTACATCTACTAGACAAACACATCAGCAGGGTGCTCGTAATTTACTTAACACAAACTGTCAAATATTGTCCCGCTTTAACAGGGCTCCCTTTTGATAGTCCATCACTGTAATGTTTTTGTGACCATGATAAATTAACTGGTTTCACGCATGCTACGGTAGAGACAGATGGCATTTATATGCCAGTTTGTTTACTGCGAGATTCACACTTAATCATGAAAGAACAATTTTAAATGCAAAAAGTTTCAAAACAAAATAATGCAAAGACGGTCTGTTCATAGTGGAGATCACTGCTAGGTAGTGGATAAGTACAAGACTAGGTCCATATTTAGTCCACCCAGTAATGACTGAGTTACTGTAGCACCAATATATGCCATTACTGTTGCTTTTATTTAAACTTTACAGTGAATATTAGCTTTGGAGAAAGTTGAAAGACTAGCAGACGTGGAAATGAAAGTTCTCTGGTTTCCCACAGAACAGGATCAGCATGGACAGCAGAAGTACAACTTTCTCCATAATGGCTTGTCAATACTGTCCCGCCTCAAGCCTTTTCTGGAGGAATCACCTCTAAGGGTGAGAGGGTCCATGCACATTCTGTCCTTGACCTGAGACTACCAATAAACACCAGCTGTGACATGGACCCCTGTCTGCTATGATCTGTCTGCAACTCACAGTGCCAACTCATTTCACATGGGGCCACTGGGCTGGCAGTAGCCTTGAAATCCTCACATGAGAGGTGCAATAGAAGTGCAAAGTATTACTATTACTCTGAGAAGTCTGAGTTAGATTCTCAGGTCTGAGGGGCTACATTCTGGCTTTAAGCCACATCCCTGTATTGGGCATGGGGAAAATCCTCCTCAGCTGGCAAGCTCTGTCTGCTGGTATCAGGGACTGGAGGCATCACTCTGCCTTTACCCAGCATGGCCAGAACTGCTATTGGCACTAACCAAAAGCAGTCCTTCAGTCAAGAGCACGCAAGGACAATAACTATAGCATGGGGTGTACAAGAAGGGAAGGTTTTTTGAATGCTCCCACTGCACAAGGGCCAGACACAGTGGACCTTCATCATTTTTTCCTGACTGCAGGGACTGTGATTGCACCTAGTTCTCATGGGGAATGCACAAGGGGTTGAGGAGGCTCCTACTTGGAACACCCACAGTCACAATCCACCCTAAATTATTTAATTGAACATAACAATACAAGATTCAATTTGCCATCCTGATGTTGAGAAGCACTTTAACTCATGAGCAGTCCCCACTGAGACATTGTCACATTATATATATGGAGATCTAATCCTCACCATTGGAATTAACTAACATGGAGAATTAATACAATCTGGGTGAGAAATGTCACCAGGCATGCCCCAGCATTTATTGCCTGGTATAAATTCAGAATAAAGCAGCATATATGGGGTTGTGTATTACAAGAAAATGTTTAAATATTTTTACAGTGAGAACCTTCAGGGAAGTTTACCACATTATTTTTAAAAAATGAAGCCACTGGAAAATTTAGATTCTATAGTTTGCTGATGAAGTTCAGTCAAATCAGTGGGATAAACTTTCTTTAAGGTCTTCTTAGGGATGAGAAAACCTCAGATGGTTTGGGAAGAAAAGTCATTTGAAAGTGGTTAGTGGAAATCTTTTGTCTGAGCAATATTTAATTGCCTAGAAAAATCAGGGTAACTACATGTGGTATCATTGTTAAAAGAAATAATAAACTGAAAAGACTGGTAAGGAACCACAGCATATTTCTCTCTGTCACACACATACACGCGCTCTCTCTTGCTCTCTCCCCTCCCTTTCTTTCTCCTCCCTCCCCCAATGATTGGTGTTTTCTGAAAATTATTTCAAGAAATCCATAAAATACCCTACCCCCTGAAAACCCTAATCCCAAATGTTAATCCTTTAGACTCAATTTTAGCAATACTGCACATGAATGAACCGTGTATTGGTGAACAATGTCTGAAATCTTTAATCCAACTCAAGATTGGCTTTATGGTCTACAGGGCCTCCCTCTCCAGCTCAGTGTTATAGGGCTTCGCAGCCCATGAGCTGAATTTATGCAGAGCCCCTCCCCCTAAAATGCAAGGCCTCAACCAATCACTTATGTTGCTTTTTCAGAGAGTTAGCTCTAATCCAGCTGCAAATGGATTCACAATTGGGAGGTTAATGGTGCAATTTTTAATTGCTTGAAGGCCAGAAAGATACATATTGACATGAGCTGTCTTCCAACATCACAAGATACTGCCATGTTATGCACTAATTCTTCAATGGCAGATAATACAATGTGGAGTTGCTGTGGGAGATTGTGCAATATAGAAGTTAACCAGAGTCAGCTCTTCAATTCATCGAAGTCGAGCCCTCTGCAGGGATGTTTGAGAAGTGGAAACATTTTAACAGTGAACAATTGGTGTTGCAATGACAGTAGCTTACCTGCTAAAGGGTGTAGAACACAGGACTGAATAGCAGATGTCGAGCACCTCTGCAATATATTCCCAAGTGTCACAGAAAAATTCCAACAGTCAAGAAAATTTGGTGGAAAAGATTAGCAACTTGCAAAAAAGGCAGCTCTGCAAAAGAAGATGAAAAAGAATGTATTGCACATATTCTAAAATGCGAATTATATCTCAACAGTATGAATAAAGTCTCATATCCATCGTGCAGAGTGGAGTATAGCTGGAAGTTGAAGACAGACAAATTCAGAATAGAAATAAGGCATAAATGTTTAATAGTGAGGGTAATTAACCATTGGAGCAATTTACCAAGGGTCGCGGTGGATTCGCCATCACTGACAATTTTTAAATCAAGATTGGATGTTTTTCTAAAAAATATACTCTAGGAATTATTTTGGAGAAGTTCTATGGCCTGTGTTATACAAGAGGTCAGACAAGATAATCACAGTGGTGTCTTTCTGACCTTGGAATCGGTATGTGTCACAACGCTCTAACACTTCATCACTAAGCTTGGAAGGTTTAAAGTTTTATCAATAAATGTCAGTCAATATCAATTTCAGCATATACACACAAACCAACAAACATATATTTCCATCAATAAGCAAAGTTCACAGATAGAAAAAGTACAAAAAATGTTGTTTGAGAACTTGAGTCAAAATCCAGTGATTGTAGCCTTGTTACAAGTGGACTAGCGAATAAATAGTACAAACCAATATGATTTGTTGATTTAAGGATATTTACTTTATATATTTTGACATTGAAGTTGACAATTTGTGTTTAAACAGCCTATAAAGCTTTCAGTTTTTGAATCTCAACATTTACTGTCATTAAGCAAATGTCTGATCCCCCACCCGATTTCCAGCAACCGCGAACATTTAATAATAATAATAAAATTAAAATACAAAAAATGCCTAAACCCCAAAAATTGTCCTACTTTCAAAATGCATTGATAAAAATCTAAAAACTGGTTAAAATAAACCCCAATATTATCCATCAGAATTATAAACTAATAAATATCAAATTCTGCCAAGACTAATTAACACTGATACAAATGGACGTTTCTCTGTTTGCCTTTCCCTTTCTTGCTTTGTCTTCTTTACTGGAGATTGGCTCATTAACACCAATGCTGATAGCTACACCCACTGGTAAAAACGAGACCAATTTCCATTAACACACACATTGGAAATAACATATGTTCCAAAAACAAAGAGGTGGCAGATGCCCAGTTTAAAACAGACTGCATTGTATGAGATCACAGGCCCAAACCAAAAATCCAAGACAGACAGACAGATCTTTGAGGTGGGTCTGACTGTTGAGAAGGTATAAATGTATTTTAAAAAGCTGTTTGAAATTCTGTTATCAGCAATGGCAGACCCAGCATTCTGAGCCCTGCCTCTCTTGAGTAGGTCTTACACTCCCCTTTGAGATTGCTATTAACAAAATCCACAGTCCCAGTCTGAATTTCCCTTCCTCTGTTTTATCTATAAAAACGGAAGCCTATCGCCTTTTATTATGCTACTTGAGACTCTGGCATGAAAGATTTACATTCTTTTAATGTCCTCCCTTTTTGCCTGTCATTGGCAGCTGCATATTAATATTTTTTTATTTCTGAGCCTGATTCTCCATTGCCTTGAACTCTGTGTAGTCATTTACACCAGTGCAAAGTGGGTGTCAAATGCTACTAAGTCAGAATGATAGTATTTTATACTCAGGGTAAAGTGAATGCAAAAGTAGTTGTAAAACACTATCAACTGTCATTTAGTAACATTTGTCAATGACTACACAAGATGCATGGGAATGGAGAAATCAGGCCCATAACAGTTATATATTTAACAACAACAAGTATAATTTATTCTACAAACTTAGTTCCTTCTTAAGCAACCACTGGAGGATTCGTTTGCATTTTTGTTTTATATTAAAGTAGAATTTAGAGACATTTGATTTTCTTCAGATAGGAAAAGAATTTTTTCCAAAGTGTGCGGCTTGTTTAAAATATAATTTGCAGCTTCCAAGTTATGATATGAAAATTTGCCTCCCAAAGTTCTTCCCTCCTCTGTAAGGTTAATTATACAGACATAATGCGGTCTTGGGCATTTTTAGAGAGGTATGTTAAGGATGATCCCAGTTAGACTGTTTTCGAAGATGCTGCTATAGAGGAAATAGGATGTTCCCAACAAGTTTGAGAACTTATTATATTTGTTATTTTTATAACAATTTTTAAATGTAATATATTTTAAATTGCATTTATTTCATTACTTATTATTCATAAGCAGTGGAGCTAAAGGGGTGTCATTTCATGTGTCTCTTAAGTTGTGCACTGGTTTCCTGACAGGGAGAGATCTTTCTTTTGTTTACTATAAAAGAAACTCCTCAAATACAAGGTCAACTTAGGTCTCTATCCAGGACAAGACTTAAGCACCCTACCTGACTTTAAGCACCCGAGATAGTCCCATTGACTTCAGTGGGAATGCTCACATGCTTAATCTTAAGCACATGTTTAAGTTCCTTCCTGTTCTGCTTAAGCAGGAAAATCAAAGAAAATTCATGACAACAGCTATTATTTTAAAAGATGTTACGGTCAGAAAAGTATACAAGAATAGCTGCTTCTTATGGGTTAAAAAACACAGCTTAGCTTACAGATCCTAGCTTGACTTTTCAATGCTGGCATTTAGAAAACCCTCCATTTTGCATATTCTTGAGAAAATCTGAAATTGCGTCAAAGCAAGATAATAAACATATAAAGCCACATTGTCAATTTTAGTCACTTTTTAGAGTAGAACAGACCATTACATTAGTTTTTATTTAAATTAAGCAAACAACTTTAATTATCATAGATCAGCAATTCTGCCAGTACATTTATGATCAGAATTTTCTTGTGAGTTAAATATGTGTCATTGCAACCCTTTTCATCTTCTCTCCTGTACCTCTCCAAGTGCCTAAGTGTGAAGGCAGAAAGAGAGAAAGAGAAAGAATGAACATGATGCTGTGGTACAAGTGGGCATAAATTGGAGTTAAGCACATCTGAACAAGTTGCAAAGCAATTGGTGTATTACTCAGGTCATATAAAAAAAGAATCCATAAAGCCCATCATATATTTTCTTTTATTCCATATTGTTTACAGGGAAACTATTGTAGCAATGTTTTTAAACATTTTAAAACGTTGCTGGTACTATTTATATATTCTTCCACCTTAAAAATCAAACTGCCTAAGCACCAGGAGGAGTCCAACAGCACAAAGATTGGAAGAAGTGTAAAATGAGAACTAATGTGTTTTACAAACCGCTCAAAATCATCTAAAATACCTTTTTCAGGCATAGCCATGTTGTGGATTTAAGGCCTAATACCTCATAACCAACTAAGGAAAGAAACAAGTGCCCTACATCAGAGGGGGCAAATCCCAAGCTCTTCAATGGTATAAAGAACCCATTTCCAGCCCTAGTGGTTCAAAAACTACAGGACCTTAGAGCTCTCACTAGTCCAGTACTGAACAATGGCCATCCTGAACCTCCAGCTAAAGTAATTCTAGCAAAGAATTGGGGCAAAGAAGAAAATTGCAACATTGGGGCAAAGAAGGAAATATCTATGACAGATGATTTTTATTTAATTTCCATTTATTTGGAAATTGCTCAGATTCAGAACGTGAGAAGTACCATATATACTCGTTCATTAGCCCGTTCGTTTATAAGCCGACCCCCCAAAATGGATAGGTAAAAATAGCAAAAACAGTATGACCCTTTCATAAGCCGACCCTATATTTCAGGGGTTGGAAAACTTTGGCTCCCGGCCCGTCAGGGTAAGCCACTGGTGGGTCGGGACGTTTTGTTTACTTGGAGCGTCTGCAGGCATGGAGCTCCTCAGCTCCCTGTGGCTGTGGTTCGCCGTTCCCAGCCAATAGCACCACTTCTCATTGGCTGGGAACGGCGAACCATGGCCACAGGATGCTGAGGGGCTCCATGCCTGCAGACGCTCCAGGTAAACAAAACTACAATGTATTAGATCAGGGATCGGCAACCTATGGCCCGCGGCCCGCCAAGGTAAGCACTCTGGCGGGCCGGGCCGGTTTGTTTATCTGCTGCGTCCACAGGTTCGGCCGATGGGGGCTCCCACTGGCCGCGGTTTGCCGCTCCAGGACAATGGGGGCGGCGGGAAGCGGCGCGGGCCATGGGTTTCCAATCCCTGTATTAGATATTCAAGTCAATGATTCCATAGAGTTTAAAATCATCAAATTTTGGTGTAGACCCGTTTATAAGCTGACCCCCGTTCTTTGATGCGTCACTTTTTTACCAAAAATATTCGGCTTATGCACGAGTATATAAGGTAGTTCCAGCAGAGACACATTAGTGGGCAGAGTAGAGATGAGGCATTGAAAAGTACAAAATATGATCTATGAACACGGTTCAGTATCTTATAACACAGGGATAGGCAACCTATGGCACGCATGCCAAAGGCGGCACACAAGCTGATTTTCAGTGGCACTCACACTGCCTGGGTCCTGGCCACCAGTCCAGGGTGCTCTGCATTTTAATTTAATTTTAAATGAAGCTTCTTAAACCTTTTAAAAACCTTATTTACTTTACATACAACAATAGTTTAGTTATATATTATAGATTTATCGAAAGAGACCTTCTAAAAATGTTTAAATGTTTTACTGGCACGCGAAACCTTAAATTAGAGTGAATAAATGAAGACTCGGCACACCACTTCTGAAAAGTTGCCGACCCGTGTTATAACATATGTGTTTTTAATATATATATATACACACACACACACACACATATATATATACACATACACAAACACACAGTCATACATACATATAAAATCAATATGTCTATATTTGAAAATAAATGACAATGCATAATATTTTTTGACTGGCTGAACCAGGCTTATTTTTTCAGCATGAATCAATTCCATCTTGGCGGGTTGTCAGTCCCTGCCCAGGACTGGAATAAGCAAGAAGTGTTGCAAGTCAGCACTGAGTTTAATTGAAAGTGCTGCACACACTATGCCTATTGCCTACTAGTAGTCAGAGCAATCACATACTTTCTAATTTCTGCCATCTGGTGTTAGTGTATGTGATGTTCAATCCAACAAGGAGTGACCAGCACACAAGCGCT